TTGTCCCGAAAATGGGGTAAATGTCCCTATTTAAAGGGCATTGGAAATAGTGCCCTTACGTAGGTCATTTGACCTAGAATTGGTGGGTTGCGCCGCTTTTGCGGTGTCTTGAGAAATGGGCCTTGAAAGCCGTCATTCCCTTTGAATATCTTTATGCCACGTGTCAAGTCCAGGTAAGTCCATTTGGATTCCTCCTAGGGTGACACATGTCACACTCTCATTGGTCCACATGGCTGGGGTAAAAATTTCTAAATTAGGTTGAATGTAGATTGCATTTATAATGATTTTTTTCAAGAATTGTACTCTCTATCGTGTTTTGATGTAAAAAAAATTGTAGCAATCCTAAGAATTGTTTTAGCAAGGTGATTGGATTATGATTTTTATTGTCTTAAAAGTATAGAAAATAATCCTCTAAGCTGACTTGGTCGAATCACGAATGTCAAATATGGTGAGGAGTAGTGTTAAGTTATTACTTTGTATTATGAATTGATTCAGCAGCATACGAATTGTGCTACTTTGTTTATAGTGTCTCATAATGGCATTGCTTCTTATGTACTGATTATTAATTGTCTAGCTTTCCTTCTATTGTTGACTTGTTGCTTGTCATGTGCTATTGACTGTTTTGACGGTTTCAGTGACACCAGGACACCAAGGATCATTCTTTTATCAAAATGTCTTCGAGATGTTAATATGTTGTTCTGACTTACACATTATTTCAGAGCCCATGAGGGTTTATTTTTTCCTAAATGAACTTTTGATACAATTTTTTTGCATATTAGGTTGCTGTATGACTATTAGTTTATTGAGTTATATTTCTTTCTTATCAGGATGATAATGTAATGTTACTGAGAAAGACTTTCCTCTTTCCTCTTCCTTTCTCTTTCTCTCTCTGATTTTGTCGATTGTGGCTTTGAGCTGTGTTCCATTCAAAGCAGCGGATTGAGGTCAGATGATTCCACTACTTTTCACAGTTTAGAGTCAATTTCACAATGTTAGCAAATTAGTTGTTGTCAAGTTAGAGTACCAACTCTTTTGCCATGATCATATTTGAGATCATATTTGAGGAATCTCTGGCTTTTAATAAGAGTGGAGTAGGTTTAATTATGGCTATAAGCTTGTGGGCTGTATGAAGCATAGGGGTAAGTTTTTCTTTACTTGCTAAATGTCTTGGCAGTGTAATAGATGGTAAAATTTAAATGCTTAACTTGCTCTACATTAAGTCACTAGGTCACTAACTGGCATTTTATATATTCATTTTTACAGGAACAAACCTTAAATGTGGTTCCAGATTTCAGAAACCTTGTGATTCAGGCTCTGGGGCAAATAATGTGCCTATGAATAGGTTTGCCAATTAAGTTGTCAGCTTCCCTTTTAATCGTCTTAGTACAATCAGTTCGTGTATTATCTGCTCATTTTGTGGAAGTTTTTTCTGTCGAATATCTCTTTCGTTTCCGTAATTGGATCATGTGAATGACTAATTAGATTAGCTCAAACTGTGGTATTATTTTATGTTCATTTATGACCTTCTTACTGTTTTCTTCTGGCTTTTACTAATGACCATTATGTCTATCGATATTTGCATCTCAAAACTTTGGAGTAAAGATTAGAAAATCTATGTGATTTTATGTCTATGTACAAGGTACGTTAATGGTTCTAATTTCTGATTGAGACTTATTCCATATGTTGCGCAGCAAGTAAATTATAGTAATGCTTGCAAAATGGGGAAGAAAGGAAGCTGGTTTTCAGCAATTAAGAGGGTCTATGGCCTCTTTGCACATAGCTCTAATAAGAAAGTAACTGATGTAAGTACTTCTTTCAGATTTAGACAAGCACCACATTTTATTTTGGAAAAAAAGGATTACATTTAGGGCTCTTCCAATGTGAGTAATTGTACTATTGATTATAATTACTGAACAAATGAAATATTTAGTGAGCATTTTTGTTGCTCCCTTGAGATATGCAATCTAAGGAACAAAGTGACAATATCTCCCTTCCTCACCAAATTAGGGTTTTAGAATTTGAAAAAATGTTAAGAACATTCGATTGAGGTGAGAGTATCTCTGTAGGAAGAAGCTTAGAAAGAAAAACGTACCTTCATCTGATGGATTAGGGCTCTTTGGTTGCAGGTTCCTTCTCCAAGTGAGAAGCCTCCTGCTGATGGATTTACAACAGGAAGTTTCTAGATTGGAAGCTGAGATCAAAAGTCGAACCTTCATCTTCATCAACTTTAAAGGCACTCCTAATTGAGAAAAACGTACAAATCCAGACGGTATGTTTTCTTAGCTCGTGAATAACTTTACACAGTGGGATTACTTTTGCTCAAACCAGAACCATTTCATCCTTTTTTCCGTGTTGAAAATCCTGAAATTATTAAAGGTTTGTTCTGATTTTTTAAAGCAGAAGTAAGAAGTTTGAAATACAAACCCAACCTTATCTGATCCCCACCCTAATAAATGCAAGAGTGAGGGAGAATGAGATTGTTCTTTTATTATATTGAATGACTAAAGTCTTGTTATCATGTATAGTTGGAGAGGGAAATGGGAGAGCTTAAGCGACAAAGATGTCTTGCTCAGTCTCAATTTCAACCGGAAAGAAGCGCACGCAAGGACTAGAAGGTAAACCAAGAATATTGACACTCCATTTCCATTGTTTTTCAGTTGCAATATTCTTCTTTTTGCTCATCCCTCTTCCCTGTTTTAGGAATCAAGTAACTCCAGCCCATCTCATCATGTAAGAAAGTGCCTCGCTTATTCATCAGACTATTTCAAGCAAATTTGCATCTGAAACCCAGGAAAGATATAAGGCTGGAAGGTAGTCAATTCTTAGGCAATCGGTTACTTCCACTGATCCTTCGCTCTTAGTGCAAGAAATCCGAAAGCTTGAAGTTCTGCAGGCGTTGTCGGCCGCAAAGACATTGTTGATACAAGCTCACCCATGCAAGGACATCAGGGACCCACTTGTTTACAAGGATGGCAATCATAAGCCAAAAATGGCTCTTGCAGTGACAAAGTTTGATATCCTTTGCGATTTTGTCGGTGTCGAGGTAATAAAGCTTGCCCGAGTTTCCTTTTCATTAATCTCTATTGCTGATTACCTGTACCTCTCCTTTGAGTAATTTATCATTTATTCAGACATGCCCCCCTGATACTTGTTATATGTGCTTGCAGGATGAGGAGGAGTCAATAAAAATTGCACAGAAGCAATTCTGTATTTTGAGGAACGCAACTGAATTCAGATATGGCTACAAGCTTGTTTTAATGTTTCTGCAGCCTTCACTTAGCTAGCTTGATTTCTCCTACTCAAATAATCCTTTTTCTTTTTATTGTTTGATGCAACTTTCTACATCTTTTTACCTCAATGCATGAGAGTTAATTTTCTGATCATTGTTTATAAATGCAGGAAAATTGTGATATTAAAACGGCTCTTACTCCTAAAAAATGTTATTGAGGTAACTTCTTGCTCTGTTATTATATACTCTGCATTTCCGTATTTTGAACAATAAATAGAAGATAAATGGGTCCGAGAACATTGATGCTTGTTGGGACCTGACCCCAGATCCTGAAGTCAAGAGTAACAAGTCTTACTAAGCTGACAAAATCACGCTTAATTACTTCTTTTTCTGTATACCTAGAACAGACTTGTACTTTCAAAGATTTGATTTGAAAAATTTTCATGTTTTGTGAGGGGGCTGGGCTGAACTTAGAGTGTTTGAAGTCGTCCAGTAGCTCTATTCTATTTGTGATCTGTTACTGCCGCTGCTTCTCTGAAGTCGTCAGCACAAGACGGTGGTTGATAACGGTTAAAGACTTCATAGGAGATGCGAAGGAGTCCTTTGGTAAGCTAACAACATTAAACACAACCTCTAAAGAAGGGGCAGAGGAAGCTTTGGCTGAAAAATCCAAGTGAGTGTAATTTGTTTGGGAAGTTGAGGGACATCGTATTATCTTCATGTGCATTTTTCCATGTTATTTTGTCAAAAGGTTGAAATCGATGTTATGAGTCCCTTGAAAAGGTGTAACACCATGATATGAGGAGGCACAATGTCCTCCATGTATAAAAAAGGAGAGCAGCATTATACAGTTTCTGGTTCTTGGAGCTTTGTCCTTTTCAGTGCATTAACAGGCAAAATGATCTCATTGTACCAATCTTGTAGAGAATTACAGAATTTTTCTTACTACAGAATTTCCCATTATGTACATGCAGATATGGTTAATTCTTTTTGTTATTGATGACGTATGCTGAGATTGCTCTGTTTATATTTCATTTTTATTAGTTCAATTTTCTGCCTTTGTTTTGGTTTTCCATGAACATGCTTCCTCTTGTGCAACCAAGTTTAATCCGAGCATAACTTCCGGACATTAAATAAACATGCATGCATTGACTTATTATATTGAATCAAGTGTTTGAAACTAATAATGTTGTAAACTAGAAGTCTTGGCTGTTTTGACACGTTAAAAAGAGTTTTTATGAGGAGCTCATATGTTGTTAGTTTGTTTGATATAGTAGTGTTTTAGATATATTAACTCATACACAATCGAGAAACTTTTGTCATCTTGGCATATACATGTTTTTTTTTAACCATTACTTTTGTGTCTTAGATATAATATAAATCAACGTAATTTCTTCCATTGTCATTACGAGACTTAATCACGCTTAACTTATCAGTTAATAATTTTGCCAAAAATTGACAGCTACAAATGCACACTATATTAAGGGTGTTGTTAAACGTCGTTCGCATTTTACTAGGTGACGTTCACATTTTTTACATGAATTTCCTAAATTGCCCTCCGTATATAAATACTCGATAAAGTAAGTAAGGGCTTTACGAGACATTTCCTATCTCACAAAATCACTCTTTGACACTTTCTCTCTCTAAAACCTTCCAAAAAATCTGAAATTTTGAAAAAAAAAAATCAGAAATTTTTTTTTTTAAAAAAACCAAAATAGTTGAAGGCTACTCAAACACAAGCAAATCTTGCAATCAAACGTTGAATCCGACAATGGCAGACCGACGGAAAATTAGGCTGACGTTTGGTGGTCGTGGTGGCGGCGTTAGCGGCGGCGAACCGGTGAGTTTTTTTTTTTGTTTTAAATTTTTGAATTTTGAAAAAAAAAAAAATTCTGGACAAGGGGACTTCCGCCTGAAATTTCCGGAAGTTCCCCTGGACTTCCGGAATTTCTGGGCGGAAGTCCCCTTGTCCAGAATTTTTTTTTTTTTTTATTTTTCTGTTATTCCCCCTTTTTTTCCCTTTTTTTTTTGGTTTTTGTGTTTTTATGTTTTTCCACCTTTTTTTTTTTGTTTTCTGTTTTTCCTTTGTTTTTAATTTATGTTTTTCTTATTTATTTTTTTTTGTCCTCGATTTTGTTGATTTGGTGCATGTTTTAATTTGAAAATATTTGTGTCCTTCATTTTATTTTATTTTTTTTGAAGTAATTTGTGTCCTTCATTTGTGGCATTAAAATAATTTTTTTCTTGATTTAGTTTTGCAATAGTTATTGATATGTAATTTTTGTTGATTTAGTTTTACAATAATTATAGTTTTACAATAATTATAGTTTAGCATTAAAGTAAGTTTGTTGTTGCTATGTATTGTTATTGTTATGTAAATTTGGTTTGGTTTGTATTGGTTTTTGCTGCTGTTGTTGTTATGTATTATGGTTGTTTACTTAAATTGTTGTTATTGTTATTGTAATTGTTTTTTTATTGGGTTATCGTTGTTGCGTTTAAATTTTGGCAGTTTTGTGGTTAATTATAGTTTTGATTTGGTCTGTTATTGTGTTGAAAAAATTATTTGTAGTGTGTTAGTGTGTTGTTATTGTTAGTAGTGTATTAGTATTGTAAGAATAATATTATTGTTATTATTTGTAATGCTGTTATTATTGTTTATTTGATTTGATTTATTATAGTTTTGATTTGATTTTTTTGACTATGAATTATTATTGAAATATGATTCTGTACTTATTTTTTTAATGCAGATTGAGGGTTCTGGTCCTCGTCATGCAAGATCAAGACGTTTGAATGCGTCTGTTAGGAGGGAGTTAGGTGGTGCAGGACCTTCACATGCACCGTTTCAGCATGAGCAGCAGTATGGGACTGCTGGTGCTTGGTCAGGGGAGCACCAGTCACAGGGGAGCGCCCCCATGTATTCGTCTACTGGAGTGCCTTCATCAGATGAGGATGAGGATGAAGATCGAGGAAGTCAATCTGCTGGAGATGCACAGTACGACCCTCAGGATTACCGTACTGTGTATAGGGGTGACCATGGGAGATATGTTAGCAGTAGTGAACCAGGTCAAGCTTCTACCAGCTCGTCAAAGTCATGGGTGGTGCAGGAGCCGATGCCAGGTGGGCCTGAGGATGGTACCGTTATTCCGAGTTTTGGGGCTCACGTGTCTGCCTACATATGGGGTGGGCAGGAGCGAAACGTGCTGCGGTGTTTAAGCAGGACACAGTTGTGTTCTGAATTGGGTAACTGGCGCGCTCGTCTTCCGCCGGAGCACCTGGAACCGATTGATGGCACTGGTCTATCTCATTTACCCGGGATCATGTTCCGGCGATTTGACTGGCCCTTAATTTCTGCTTTTGTTGAGAGATGGCAGCCAGACACGAACACGTTTCACATGCCTTTTGGGGAGATCACGATCATGCTGCATGATGTGTATCATATTCTAGGGCTTCGTGTCGACGGTTCCATGGTTTCCACTACTCCTAGCACGGACGTTTTACGGGACGCGTGCTCGGTTACCTTGGATATGACTGAGGAAGAGTTGAATGAGAAGTGCGGTACCAAAACCGTATGGCAGGGTAGTGGGGTCCTGACTGAGAGGATAGTGGAGTCGACCTTGGAGGCGCAGAGGCCCTTCAGTTTCCATTACAGAGCGTACCTGTGGTTAGTACTCGGCGGTTGTTTGTTTTTGGACAAGAGTGGAAACCGTACTCATCCTTCCTTCCTCAACGAGCTGTTTGTTGAGGATGTTCAGATTAGTGAGTACTCCTGGGATTCTGTTGTGCTAGCATACATGTACCGGCAATTGGGTACAGCATCACGAAGAGATGTTGATTCTATCGCTGGCTGCCTTACGCTTCTGCAAGCGTGGATCTACGAGTACTTTCCGTGTTTCCGGCCTCAGCAGAGGACCTTGACCAGAGAGCTTGCTATTCCTCGTGCGTCCGCCTGGGATGTTGGATCGGGGTGCCCTAACAAGAGCATGGAGCGCCTTCTCGCTTTTCGGGCTAGGTTGGATCATTTGACTGACAATGAAGTTAACTGGCTACCGTACGGAGTTGATCCAGCACGACGCGTGCCTGCTACTCTTTTCATTGGCTGCATCCAGTATCGAAGCATCATTGATCCATACATGCCTGATCGAGTGGTTCGGCAACTTGGATACGTCCAGGGCATTCCACCAGCCATTATCAGGCCTGAGAAGGCTAAGAGACCGACGAACTTGAAGATGTATCGGGTTGACTTTCCGCTAGAGATGACATCTGTGATGTGGACTCGGTTAGTCCCTGGTATGTCTTTTAGTGTCGTGGTAGGTGCCCTCAGCAGACTTGGTGGTGGTGCTCCTACAGTCGGTCCTAGTTACATGCAGTGGCTGTACCGATTTTCTCATCCACGTGTTTCTCCAGTTGCGTCATCACATGAGAGTCGCACACTGCCAGAGAGAACTAACACGGATTACGTAAGTAGTTGTATTTTTTGGTATAATTTAATAAGTTCCTATTTTAATATGATGTTTATAATATGTTGTTTTTAAAATCCGATTTTTTTAATATGTTAATTTTAATATGTTGTTTTTTTAAAAAAAAAACTTGTGATTTATTTAATATGTTGTTTTTTTAATTGAAGTGGATGGGTCGGTCTATGGAGGTCATCAACAGGACCCTGGAGGAGTATCCGAGCCTATCGCGTGATACAAGAGCAATGGCTGAGGCGCTACGAGCTGATTGGAGGGCGATGATGGGGTTGTGAACTTCCTGTATTTTTTTTATTTCCCTTGTACGCATTTCGTTTATGTACTATTTATTCGTCACGTACTTTAAGTATTGAACAACTGTTTTGGTGGTTTTGTAAATATTTTGTTTAATTAAGTTCAATTCGTTGCAAATTACATAACGACAACTGTTTAACATAAATGAAAGTACAACATGTTCACTATCTAAATAAGGCATCCCACATGTTCCTTCTAGCTTCGTAACGCTAATCCCAACCGTCAACACTTGGGTCGTGGTGCTCGGTCCACCAACCTGCAACCGGGGGAAGTGGCGAATCAGGTGCAAGTTCAATACAAATAAAATGTGAGGCCCCAACTGTAGGGATGAAAAACTCTCGCTCCGGTGCTGTGACCCCCCTTCTTGCCCGCAACGGCAATATCGTGAGGCATGGGTAGTAGCAAGTTGGTGTTTGGCCTACACCAAGAATAATAACCGCTGCGTTGAACCAAGTCGCAATAGGAAATAAATCTTGTATTGCAACCATCCAATGACGGGAATCAACCGCCCCACCGTCCCATCGAATACGCTGCACATTGATCTCAAGTCTTCCAAGCCCATAAATCCTCTCATATAGGGCTCGATAACCGAGGACCTCATTCGCTATTGTCTCTCGAGCGTCATACCATCGGCCTTGATCACCGAAGAAGAACTCGGCCACACAACGAAACCCACAGTTCCCATCGCCAATGACATCCTTCCATCCTGTGATGTAAGGCAACATCGGCCCTGGAAGCATGTGTCGATAACGGCTTTGGCTAATGTCGTTTACATCTCCTGCACAAATGTAGGTTTCAGTTAATAGTTTAGTGAACGTTGATTTATGTGAAAAACACAACACTCAATCGTACCTGTTTGTCGTGCGCCGCGTTCAGTGTGTTGGCGGTTTACATGTTCAAAATAAGAACGATCACGTCTTGTATCATTGTTTCTTGGTCGACCACAAACCCGGTGGTTTACAACAGGCTCTCTGAGATCGGAATGATCCGGATGCAGCTCCTCTTCAATGATGCGAGACACGTTTCGAAGAACAGCAGGATCACTATCAAACACCTCCTCCATCAGAGAACGAAAATGTGCGGCATCCTCGGTCGAGTCATTGCCAGGCACCGTCCCACCATCTCCAGAACCAATAACCAAGGTCCTCCAAAATGGGTGAATTTGCCTTATGTACAATCCTGTCCCAGCAGCTAGCGAATCATGTATCTGGCATGCACAGGGCAACCCGTGGGTCACACGCATTGCACATTCACATCGTTCGTGCACTTGATAACTCATCTCCCTCATCCTCCTTGTCTCCTCATCGAGAACCTTCAAACAATGCTGAGACACCTTCCCGTTTATACGTGACAGTGGCAACTGTCGGTACTTTTGACCTATCTTCGACCTAGAAGCCTCCAAACCATTACGAATTGCGATGATTTGATTACCAATGTGGCTATGAACTCGAGCCCATACGGTATCTAAAGAACCTGCACATTACAAAGAAAATCCGTTATGATTTGTAACTCAAATTCCTAAAATAAAGTACATACATGAAGTTCAATAATCTTACACCAAACCTGTCGAGGAATCAAACCACATCTTCACGGCCGAATGTTGGCTCTCAACTCTGCAAGTGCTGGTGTTGCCATAATGTAGAACTTGGTTTGTCCAAAATGTCACGAACTTCGTTTTATGACAAAGCTATGTGTTCTCTACATATTGTGTCACTGCTAGAAAACTTGCCCACTTATCTTTCATGTTTTCTACAGCGGCCTCATAATCTTCCTCGGTTGCAGCGTCCATGATACGTTTCCATTTTCCGTTTTTGAAAGACGCACCGATTTTCTTGCTTTTGAACATAGCAGTGACCCGAGCCTCCACATCTTTGTTAATGTGCCATCGACAAAGTAAGTGCGAGGTTCCTGGAAACACTTCCCTCAATGCAGCACATAGCCCAAGCTCACGGTCTGTCAAGAAAACCGACGGCTCCTTATTATACCCAATCACGTCTCTCAACCTCTGCAAAACCCATCGATAGCTTGCCGTGCTCTCGTTGCGCATGAACACGTAAGCGACGAGAAAATTCTGATTTGTTGGTGTCACGCTAACTATCTCAAAGAACGGCATCCCGTATCGGTTAGTCTTGTAAGTGGAATCCATACCGATCACATAGGGGTACGTCCGTAGGATGTCTACCATGACTGGATGCGCCATAAAGGCGTGCTGTAAAACGCCTTCATCATCGGACATGACCCAGTAAACATACTGACTCTGTCTCGCCAAATGTAGAAATTGCTGAACAACTCCTCTCCCATCAGACATCTCCTCTCTGAAGTCATTCCGGCAGTTGTACATGTGTCTGATGTTTGGATGATCATCAGGAAATTGCTCCGCAATAGTCGCCATGATGTTACGCGGTGCAACCTTAGACTTCGTCATGTCACGCACAACCTGCTTCGCATTCGAGCTCAACCCACTAATTTTACGATGACCCTCTGGATACGCAATCATTGGATGGTTGTAGGTCCCAGTTACATCATCTTTCGCCCAGATAAACCAAGTATTGGTGACGAACTCGTAACATATCTTGATGTAGAAAGGACAACCAATGCCCTTGGTTTTGGTGTCCTTCTGAATTGCGTTCTCAAGATCTCTCGGCTTACTCCTGCGTCCCCGGTCACATCTTAAATATCGAACTGGTCGACCATCCCTCTGTTTGTTGAAAGACGATTTCACCAAAATAAATCCCAGATTTATTGCAACAGCATCCGCCCATGTAACTACATCGTCAAACGTTAGAAAAACCGTGTCTGTCACAAAATGTGCACTGTAATTCACAACGTCACCGTCGTCTTCAACCTCCGAATCCTATCAAAATAACAATACAAACAAATAAAACACGCAAGGATTACTATTTTAAATTTAACAATAATAATAACAATAATAATACAAATAATCATAATAATAATAATAAAAATAACAATAATAACAATTATAATATTAATAGTATTAATAGTATTAATAGTAATAATAATAATAATAACAATAACAATAATAATACTAATGATAATAATAATAATAACAATAATAATACTAATGATAATAATAATAACAATAACAATAATAATACTAATAATAATAACAACAATAACTACGTAACATTAACAAATAATAACTAATATAATAATAATAACAACAATAGTAATAATAATAGTAGTAATAATATTAATAATAATCATAATCATAACAGAAATTTACAAAATTAACAAAACTAATATTAATGACCATAATAATAATAATAATAATAATAATAACAATAACAATTACGTAAAAAAAAAACAAAAAAAACAAAAAAAAAAGGACATCCGCTTGTTTTTTCCGGAAATCTGGGGGAGATCCGCCCAAAATTTCCGGATGTCCCTAATTACATCCGGATGTGTACATCCGCCTGAAATTTCCGGATGTTATTGGGGACATCCGGAAATTTTGGGCGGATCTCCCCCAGATTTCCGGAAAAAACAAGCGGATGTCCTATTTACAAAAAAAAAAATCCGAAATACTTACAGATTCTTCCGTCGAACCCTCCGGCGTGTGAACGTTGTCGTCGTCCATCGTAAAACATCACTCCGTACACTTTCCTTTTCTGGCCCGGGATTTTTAAATTCCTCGGGGTTACCGTACAATGGTGGAACCAGGATTTTTTAATGCTCGGGATTTTTTTAACACAAGTGGTGGGCTCGGTAATGTTTTTAATGTTGTCGGTAACTAAATTTACCCATGGTGGACCCTTAAATAGATAAAATACCCACAAGGGCAAAAATGTCATTTCAATTAAAAATGTGAACGTCACCCAGTAATTTGCGAACGACGAATAGCAGTTCAGTATATTAAACCCACCAACATTATTATTTTAGAAGTTTTTCACCTAGCCTCTTTAAACTTACATATACATATAATACCGCTCTTTTGATAAAAAAAAAATTATGCAATTTATACTTTCCGTTTAATTTCACGAAATTGGGAGGGCGCCCGCAAGGCGCTCCAACAACTAGTATTTAATAAATGAGAATAGTTGCATTAGAAGTAGATGATACGAGGATAAACGTGTGTATATATATCATCAAAAGTAGAAACGTAACCAAAGAAAAGAAACGTCTAAAATAAAAATGTAACCATAGAAAAGAAACGGATGGAGTACTAGGCCTTATTTGGCAAAATTAGCGGTAATGGATTTCTTTTTGCGGTTGAATAGCAAATAGCTGTTAGAATAGGTGAATACTAAAATACATTAAAATCCATACATATTTTTTAAAATAGTAACTAAAATTTAACAGACGATATCTGCTACCTTTAAAAGGCTACTGTTTTTAACGTTTGAGAAAAGCTACTCAAACGCTACCTTTATCGCTAAACGAGTAACTGTTACCCAATAATTGCCTTGCCAAATACTCTTCTTTTTCTCCTAATAGTGTTTTGATCTGGTCAAAATGCTTACCTCAATTACTACCGTCAAACAGGGCTTTAAAATAGATTGGACCGAACTTCAAAGAGTTCAAATCTCAACATAATGATTACTATGGCTTTATGAGTTCAAATCTCAGCACAAGGATTATAATGAGATCAATAGCCAAAGTAAAAACAGACTAATGAATACATAAGCAAGGCCCATTTACTTCTACCCAAAAGTTTGTGCACTAAAATTCCAAACAAAATTAAAATTGAAGTTTGACTGTTTGAACACTTTGGGGTTTCAAGGCCTACCGTCTTCCCATTAAAACGGCACCGTATTATGCTTCAGCGACTACCTGTCCTCCGTTCCGTACTCGTGTTTCCGTACATGTGTAGAACAATGCCCCATGTAAGTAGCTTTCAATTTTTCGCAAGTCTTTAACTTTGAACTATCTTAATTTTGGTTAAATTTGTTGAATTTATCTTCATGTTCTTGACTAAATTAATTTCCGTTATTTATTTATGGGTTCATAATTTCGAATTTTTTTAGAGAATTTCATACTGTCTTTGTTGTTGTTTGTTGAGATTAAAATTTATTCCAAAAAAAAAAAAAATCTATAATATGGGTTTCTGATTATTAATGAAACATCCTTATGTATATGAGAAATCATTCATTTACACATAAACATTTAATTTTTATAAGTATAATTATTAGTTTAATTTGACACCCAAAACAAATTGTCTATCAAATTAAGGCAAATTAGCTTATAATTTCATTGAAACTTTTAATGAAATAATTGGGTTGGGTGTCAATTTGATGGTAGAGTATTGCATAGGGTTGGAGAATTGCTAATATGCTTAAAAGCCTTAAAGGAGCTTCTACTTTCTTGGAGATCAATATTTCGTTCTATCGAAATTACTATGTTAAATTCTCGATATTTCCTTGGAAAATCTTAATCGTACAACCGGTTGAAAGGTAAAATCAAGGTACAATTGTACAAGAACATGAGCAAAGAAATAACCTTTGTACTTTGTAGTACCATGCACAAGGTACAACTACAATGAGGTGAAATTGATAATATTAGTAGCAGTCAAACATCAATAATGCTGATTGACACGTGGTTGTGTGCATTCCTAAACTAATGAGGAGTATTGGGTACCTTATTAAAAAAATATATGAAGTATTAATTACTTACGTGCAACACTAAGAATGATATTTTCATTTGTACTTGTAATAGTGCAATTTGCTTATGTAATGAACATAAATAATGAAGTATCTATGTCCCAATCTTTCAGTAGAAAATTTTCCCCTAAGTCATCAAAATTCGATTATATAGAGAACATGGCGAAAACAAAACACTTAACAATTCGTTTGGTAGGCGATATTTAGCAGGATGGGGTGGACTCAGGCAGGGAGATAATCTATGTTGTATGCCTTACTAACATATTCAGTATGTATGGCCTTGCCTTTCTGTATAATATCAGTATATCACAAATCCTAGGCATCAATAACAAAGAGAATTGTAAAATTTTACAGTCAGTTACACAAATTTATGTATGTATTTGATACATGACTGTGATCAATGTTTTGGATTGAAGGTCATTCATTGGAAAACAAGTACTTTCAAATTAATCATAATAATAAAATTGGATTGATGGTTAGCAGGTTGAGTTGAATACAAGCAATGACACTTCTATTGGCAATCAAGAAGCCCCTGTCAGCAAAAAAACAGTTTATAGGGGAATATCAAGTGGCAGTAAAGCCGCCCTTTTGAAACATCTGGGTCTAAGTACCAGGCAGCAGCGACGCCCTTATGCCTCAGCTATGGCTACAAATAACATCACAAGTAGTTCCTTATCTGGAACTAACGACCAGCCTTCTGTTACAACTATGACTCGACAGGCTAGAACTTCTAGTTCGGAGATGTTAGTTTCTTGTTCAGAGCAACCTCAGCACCCTCCTGTTGGAGATGTTGATCGTGAAAATACATGTTCTTTGCCATCTGTGAGTTCTGGTTGTGATGGCTCAGGAGAGGGATCCGTGAAAGAGAGTAATAATTCGCATGATGTAGAGTGTTCAAGCATATTGGAAGAACTCTCTTTGCCGAAAAGTTTTGGAAAGCGTCGTGAGCAACCACAGTCCAAGAGGCCAAAATCCATCGAACATAGTCTGAAAGATGGTGGTAGTACTAGTAATAAATACTCCAAGAACATGAGTTGTGTTCCTGCTGAATTCTTCGACATTTGCCAGCCTCAAGTTGATGAATTTGTGTTTCTGAGACAGTCTCAAGACTTTTTCGATGAAGCAAAAGAGCCTGAGATGGATAAACTAGATGAGGAGCCTAGGGAAAGAGTGCTGAGGCCTGGGATGGTCTTGTTGAAGAGTTACATCTCTGATAGTGAACAGGTGATTTACTAGACCTCGTCATAACTTTCTCTAAAACCTCATGTCTTTAAGAACCTACATTTCAAGAAGACTGTACTAGCATTCAGCACATGTATCATATGGAGTATATGTGTGAAAAATTTGCAGTATGTCCTTAGACTACTATTTCTGAAAATTTGCATGTTTTAGGCCTGAAATGAAACATCTAAATTTCCTTTAAGATTAATTATGTCAGAGTGCTAAGCACAAACAGAGGTCATTAAGGTGAAACATCTAAATTTTCATTAAGGTGTAGTCCACTAGCTAAGGACCATATCAAGTGCCATAGCGGCTCATCACTTGCAGCTCAAAGTTTAAAAATACATGTTCGACTTTCAAATTCTTCCATATTGTTTATTGGGTACCCCTCATATTAGATATACAAAAGTTGAAAACCCTGTTAGCTAAGTTCCAAAACATATTGTTACTGTTAAATTTTTGAAAGCACCATATATGAATCTGTTTAAGGGACTGAACTCTGAAAGAATATGATCTTGTTCCACCTACATATCTTGCGCCTGTTTTATTGTTTTGTATGTCCATTTTGGTTCCTTTAACAAGTTTTAACTCTCATTCTGTGTGCTGTTCCAGGTTTCTATAGTAAGGAAATGTAGGGAACTTGGCATTGGTCCTGGGGGGTTCTATCAACCTGCTTACAAATATGGAGCAAAACTCCGACTGCATATGATGTGCCTTGGTCTTGATTGGGATCCTCAGACAAGGAAGTATCAGAAAACAAGACGAATAGATAAGTCTAAGCCACCTCGTATTCCCTTTGAGTTCCTTGAGTTGGTCGATAGAGCTATGCTAGATTCACTTGCTCTTATAAGGAAAGATTCTGATGTTTCCGAGGCTGAAGACATCCTTCCTCAGATGAATCCAGATATTTGCATAGTCAACTTCTACTCCGAGACAGGGCGACTTGGTCTGCATCAGGTATATGTGCAGCTATATACTGGCTCAACTATAAATTTCCCCTGCTAGCATACTCAATATAATTTCTGAACTGTCGCTGCTAGTATTATGATCACGATGCTGTTATTCATTGCTAACTGGCATGCTGTGCTAACATACAGATACTGAGATTTAAGCCATTCAATTAATTAACGGCTACATCTGATTGGGTATCACATAAACATGCAGAACTTGAAATGAAAGCTTTTTTTAAACTTACTTGAAATTGAAATGTCTTGATACATTTTATAGCACGCAGTTGAGATCTAAGGACCCCTTTTTGAAAGGGAGGAGGAACATAGAACTAATCTGTGATTAGTGCTAAATCAATGTCTGTTCAGCTAAAAGAAACCATTATAGCTTTCTAGATTCTCTTGTTTGGTATTGTCCATCTCAAGTGTGATTTCTATATCGTTTTCTTTCATTTTGTTCAGGATCGAGATGAGAGTGCAGAGTCTCTCAACAAAGGACTACCAGTAGTTTCTTTCTCGTTGGGGGATTCAGCCGAGTTCTTGTATGGAGATCAAAGGGATCCAAGCAAGGCAGAAACTCTGATATTAGAATCAGGAGATGTCTTGATATTTGGCGGTCAATCAAGGCATGTTTTTCATGGTGTTGCCTCCATCATACCGGATTCTGCTCCTTGTTTCTTATTGGAAGAAACCAAGCTTATTCCTGGCAGGCTTAATCTGACTTTTAGACGATACTGATTGTCCTTCAGATTTGCCTTTTTGGGTGATCACAGTTAACTCTTGTATGTATCAATGCTCTCTTTCATAAATAAAAATGACTTGCTTTTGTATATAGCATTGCATTAATACTTAGAAAAATTGACTAGTACTCAACACTAACTAAGAAACTAGATAACCTGATTTGTAACTAAAGTGATATTGACGCAAACCAAAAGTATGGACTAATATGGATTCGATCATAAATTTTTCATCATCAATAGATCTGAATATGACCCGACCTGAATTGACTAGATCCAAAAAACACTTGTTTACCACTTATAATTGCATTTAAGTGATGTTGAGAAAATTTGTTCAGTTTCGGTAATCATGAGCCATAAGTTTACTCAGCCACAATAGCAATCAGATTTTATTTGGGTTTCAGCAAAAACTTAACTCCAATTCTATGGCACAAAAGGTTTTAAGTGCTCAGTTAATGGCAATAAGAAGGATCAAGTCTAACTTTAGGTACAGTCTATTGGGCAAACCTACTTCCTTTAATGTGGGTTTATAATATAAAGGGCAAAGCTACTTTCTTCAATTTGGGCTTACAAATTGTGAAAGCCACTTTCTTCAATTTGGGCTTACAAAATGTGAAAAGCCACTTCCTTTATTACATACATTTTTTTTTTTTCCACTCTTAATCAAGGTCTTGCACTAGATGAAGTTAAATTCAATAATCATTACTTCCTTAGGATTACATTGAAATCGAAATCCATCACTTAGGTAGCACTTACTTTACTCTATAAGATAGATGAAGTCAAATTCAATAATAATTTTTAGTCATTACTTCCTCCATCTATTTATAATTTGAACACTTTTCATTTTTAGTTCGTCTTAGTTTGAAAAAATTTTATGACTTTTGGTAAAGGCCCTATTTGGTGAGTAGCTTTTTAGCTGATTGATATAGTTGATTGTATTAACTGGTTTAACTAGTTGGTTATATTAGCTTACTTGATAAGCTAATTGTAATGTAAAAGTGTGGTAAATAGTTGTTTATCATTAACTGTTTCAGTGTATTTAATACCCAAAAAGCTAATTCTTCAATAAGCTAATTGCAAAAAGCTCTTATAATGAGCTTATTTTAAAAGAGTTTTTTGGACCCAAAAAGCTCTTTTAATAAGCTATTTATCAAACACCTAAATTAGATTTCCAAAATGGTCAAACCTCTCACAGTACTCAATAAGCTAAAAGCTTTCTAAAAAGCTCTTTACCAAACAAGCCCAAAATGTACTAATTATTTACGGATTTTTCACCAAATACCCCTGAGTTATTTTTTTATTCACCATGTACTCATGAAAATTTTCAAATTCACCATATACACTTGAGTTTCACAAAATTGTCACCAAATGCCCTTAATGACTAATGACAATTAACTTTGTTAGTCATTAAGGCTAATTATGCCACGTGGCGGCATATGATTGGTTGTTTATTATTAAATTAGTAAATTTATTATTTCTTAAAGAAAACTTTTAAAAATTTAAATAATAACCACCACTCAGCCTCCCCTTTTCTACTGCCACTGGCGGCCACCCCCTCGTCGACGATCGACGAGCGCTCTCCCGTCGCCGGCACCAGTCCTTCCCACGCCACCGACCCTAACCCTAACATCCCTACCCATCCCTGAGAACTCCAAAAACCCGTACCTTTTCACTTCTTTGGCACGAGTAGGGCTGTACACCAGTTCAAAACCGGACCGGACCTGAAAGGACCGGGACCTAAATCATTCATTTTTAAGGATCGGAGAACGGACCTGAATCAACAGGTCCGGTTCCAGTCCAGACCTAAAAAATCAGGTCCGGTTCGGTTTTGGATCTAAATAGACCTGATTTATTAATTTGTTCCGTTTTTTTATTTCTTAAACAAAAACTTATTGGACTTGTTTATGGACCTATTTAGACCTGTTATGGACCTGTTTATGGACCTATTTAGACCTGTTATGGACCTATTTAGACCTGATATGGATCTATTTGGACCTATTTAGACCTGATATGGACCTGTTTAGACCTTAAATGGGCCTGTTTGGACCTGTTTAGACCTGTAAAATAATAAATAAATAAAAAAGCAGCTTCACCTGTTTCAGGTCCGAACTTGAAAATTCTAGGCTTTACCCGGACTGGACCGGAAACCCGGAATCATGGATTTTAAAGGACCATAACTGAAACTGAATTCACAGGTCCGGTCCAAACAGGTCCAATTCAGGTCGGTTTTCAGGTCCGGGCCAGTTTGTGTACACCCCTAGGCACGAGCGCCGCCGCTTCCCCTACTCTGACGCCGACGCCGGACACTGACCTTGCCTGCTCCCTCCCCCGCGGTCGGCATCGCAAGCTGTCCCTTGGACCGTTGCCCTCTCCCCCTTCCCTCAAACCACCTCGAAACCCTAAAACCAAAATCTAGGGTTTTGATTTTGGGGTTTTAGGGTTTTGGGATGGTGGTTTAAGGGGGGAGAGTGGGTGGAGATGGTAGGGAGATGGGCGAATTAGCTTCGCCGACGCAAGGGTTGGGGTTAGGGCCCCATCGGGAGAGGAGAGAGATGTTTTTCGAGTGGAGGGAGGGGTTTTAAGGTAGGGGAAAGGTGGTTCTGTGAAGGAGAGGGGCGGCGACAAGGGGAGGGAGGGTGGTCGCCAACGCCGAAGAGCGTGTTGGTCGCTGGTGGGGGTGGGGGGCAAGGGGATGAGCTGACGTGGGGGTGGTGGTCCAGAGTGGCTAGGTTTGGTTTTCTTAAAAAAAATTTGTCAAATAAAATAAGAATAAAAATGAACCAATTAGAATATGCCACATGGCATAATTAGCCTTAATGACTAATGGAGTTGACATTCGTTAGTCATTTGGGCATTTGGTGACATTTTTGTGAAAGTCATGAGTATATGGTGAATTTAAAATAAAATCATGGGTATATGGTAAATAAAAAAATTACTCAGGGGTTCATGGTGAAAAATCCAAATTATATATTACCATTTATTTCTTACCTTTTATTTGAACCGACACTGTTTCGGGGTATTTAACCCCATTTTATAGACAAATGAGAGGCCAACAAGTGGCCCGATTATAAGCCAACACGTGGCATCCAACTCAGCTATAAAAGGCCAATATGAGCATGACACGTGGCCTAAAAAAAGACATTAGATAGTGAAGAGCTCAAAACCCATTAAAGGCAGAATACCTAGCATAAAGCATACCCTTAGACACGTGTCTATCACGTATAGGGCAACCAATCTTCCTAGGTTATGAAACCCTAGGAGCATGATCTCCCATATCCCGATAAATACCCCATAATCCTATGGTGGGACAACAAGTTAACATTTTACCAAAGGCACTCTGCCCAAAATATGCTCTCACTTCTCTTGACTTTCTATCTCTAAAATTCTGTTGCCGGTCACTAACTTTATCGTTGGAGGCGAATCTCCAGTTGCCGGTCACTAATTTTGCAGGTGTTCAGGTCGTACGAGTGTAGCATTCTGGATCTATCTCCCGAGGGAATCCATACCCCCCTTCAGGTAATCCCAAAAATCCTTGAAACACACACTATGACCTTTTCACATCTCTTCATTAAAAATAACAGCTGATTTTAAAAATAGCTCTCGATAATTTAATTACAAACAATATTTTAAAACTTTGTGTAACAAAAAGTGTTCAAATTAATGTGAATGTAAGAGTATTTATTGATGTGTGGCCCGTAATCAAATAGAAGAAAATATGTTGATCTATGGGTAAAATCGACAATTCACACATTTAAATATGGGTAATTTTATAATTGCAACTTCAAAATAAGTTAATATTGTTAAAGCTTGTGGAACGACGTGAATGGAGGATCTTGAATTCGAAGAGATTCAATGGAAATTTCAGAAGCTTCAATGGAGAAATTCATGCTCAAGGGCAACTTCAATGGAGAAACACGTTACCCCTACCTTATGAGCTTGACCATGCCCTTTATTTCTCTCTTTTTCTTAGTTAGCGTTTTTCGTTTAATTCAATAGCAAAGCCGTCGAATTGAAAATGGTGGACGGTGCCGGTAGAAGAAAATGGTGGTGGACAGTTTCGGTGGAAGGTGATGGGGATGAAGAGGATGAAGGTGGAGGAAAGCTTGAGCTCCTTCAATGGAGTTATTGCAAGATAAAGCAGATGGAGTTAATGATGTAATTGATAATCAAATCATTATTAGTTATTAAATTATGTTAATTATGTAATTCCTTGATTTACTCTTTAGATTGATAGTCAAAGATATCCCTAAATCTTAGCTAATGTATCTAGACAATGTACCTAGTCATATTTTATTGTTTACTCTTGCACTATATATACTCTTGTATACTCATTAATATAATTTAAGCTTTCCAACATTCTCTTTCTCATAATTAACTCTATCATGGTATCATGAGCTATTGATCCATTCTTTTCCGCTTCCGCTACTACACCGATCCTCTTTATGGCTACACTATCAAAAAACTTTGTTGATATCAACAAATGATGGTGACCATACTTGTGCTCCTTTCCCGGAAAGCTTCAAACACAAATCAAACTTCTACTCAACTCTACTGACAATCCTTAATTTATCTACCAAGTATTGTCAAACATAAATTCACTTCTCCAAACCCTTATGGAGAAACAATCTCTTTCGGCACCCCGTAGTTCATTTACCAAGTGTTTTCAAACATAAACGAATTCTTTCTCCAAAACCATAATGGAGATACATAAAACTCCCTTCTAAACAATGACCATTAGATTTTTCTATCTTTCCTTCAATGGTTGTGAAGGAACCCCTATATACTTTTTTTCTCCCTACGCTGCAAGCACACGCTAGCTAGCAAAACTCTTCATTTAATTTTGCAATCAATGGTTCACATGTCAGAACAATTGTCCATTAAGAAAAAAAAAATTCAATAATCAAGTAACTCTCTCCAAACCATCTCGGAGAATTACGATACAACTCTTCTCACCTACACTTCACTTCCTACATGAGCAAGGTTTGTGATACTATATCCAAGATCGGTTTCTCATTCCGAACATCCGTCTTGCGGGGGCGTGTAAAGGATAATCAAATCATTATTAGTTATTGTGTTAATTGTGTAATCCCT